AAATAATACCACAATTGTGAAGCTTTGATGTACCAGTATCTGTAGACTTTTTTCTTTTTATTCTGTGGCTTAAGGTTAATGGTAAACTTCAATTTTATAAAACAAACAATCTTACTAATCTGTACAGTCTGCAAATATTATATTAGCATCAGTTAATTCAAATTGAAAAAATATCTGCTATAGGGCACTTTTTCATTCAGCAACCACTATTGTTCTAAGGGTCAAGACATTAATTATGTTACTAAATCTGTGGGTCTGTTTTTGAATACATGTCGTGTTATAAATTGGAGAGATAATGTGTTCCCCTTGCCCTTGTCATATTTCTCATCTAAATTGGAGAACCAGCTTCTGCTGTTTCCTGGAGGACATGCAGTATGCAGAGCTTTCCTACCTACAGTCGGCCTCTTACACATTTCAGTCAATAAGTCTCTCACTATTCAGAGCACAAATATGGAATTTTTTCTACCATAATTCAGAATACATAAGATGCTTCCCCTCCCATAGGTGATGCTTGGTGGGAAGGGAAACAAAGCCAGGACAATCTCCCAATCACTTTCCTTAAATTTTGCTCATTGAGGCTGAAAGGACAGCATCTACCTTTTGATTTGTTACTGAAATACAATAAAGGTTTGGCTGATGGGGTTCTGCAATTTACAGTCAATGGGAAATCCAGTGGGAAGTTGCAAGCCCCAATCAGTTTACAAGCAGGTTGGCAAGTAGGTACGTAGGTGCTGCTGGATGGGGGAAGTGCCAGGGCATGACTGCTGCCAGGTGCCTCAAGGTCAGCGGTGAAATCCTCTGCTACCAGTTCTGTGAGTCTGCTATCGAGTACGTGCTTTGCACGCATGCACACCTGAGGCGCGCCCACGCAGCACTAAAAAGGAACATTTTGAAACCTTCCAAGTCTGCAAAGGTAAGGGGGGAATCAGCTGTGCCACGCGATTTAGATTAGCTAGAAAGCAGGAAATCCAATGATTCTAGCTAATATAAATTGCATGCACTGCTGATCGTTGCCCAGATGATCGTCAGAAATACTGATTCATCCAAACCAGTAGCAATTTTTTTCTACTGGTTCGCCCGAACTGCTCTGAATCAGTAGCATTTCACCCCTGCTCAAGGTGGCTGCCATGGGCAGTGGATGGCATAGGTAGCCAGGGTCCTCAGGAGAAAAAGCCACTGGAAGGTAAATAATTTACCAGACCAACTTGCAACTTTCTCTGCGAGCTTCCCCTTTGACTTCACTTGTGGGGAGCTGGCAGGGAAAGTTGCAAATGGTGACTGTGTGACCATGGGACTCTGCAATCATTGCAAATGTGAGTCAGTTGCCAAGCTGGAGGTACTGTGATGGCTGGAACTACAAACACCGGTACCATCATACAAGCAGGGGTGAAATGCTCCCGGTTCGGACCGGATCACCCGATCCGGTAGCGATGGAGGCGGGTGGTTCAGAGAACCGGTAGCAAAAATCCCTGCCCCCCCCAATGCCTAGCTGAGCCACGCAATCATCAGAGGCTTTTTTTTTAACTTTTAAAAGCATTTTTTCTACAACCTCTTTCACCGAAAAAATGCTTTTAAAAGTAAAAAAAAAAGCCTCTGATGATTGCGCAGCTCAGCTGGGATCGTCAAAGGCTTTTAAAAGAAAAAAGCCTCTGCTGATTAGGCAACTGAGCTTGGATCTTCAGAGGCATTTAAAAGAAAAAAAACCCTTTTTTTTCTTTTAAAAGCCTCTGACGATCCAAGCTCAGTTGCCTGATCGTTAGAGGCATTTAAAAGAAAAAAAGGCTTTGCCGATCAGGCAACTCAGCTGGGATCGTCAGAGCCTTTTGAAAGCATTTTTTTACAACCTCTTCGCCAAAAAGGTTATAGAAAAAATGGTTTTAAAAGAAAAAAAAATTGGCCACACCCACCCAGTCACATTACCCCCCCCCAAGCCACGCTCACAGAACCGGTAGTAACAAATTTTAGATTTCACCACTGCATACAAGGTACATCATACAACTACAAGGACATAAGTACCATCATAACTTTGAATGGTTACTGAACTGATTAACTGAGAACTATCTGTAATTCTACTCTGTGTTCTTTTCAGATTCTAATTCTGAAATACTAAATCATAAATTTCAAGCAAAGGTTTTCAAGATTTACCAGTACATTAATCATTGTCTTGTTTAAAAATATAGGAGGTTGTTTCTTCCTGTAACAAAAGGAACAAATGTTCTATAAAACTAAGGCTTTAAAAAAAACAGAACTTTGTAAAATGTTTTAAAACACTTTATCAAAAATCTGTTTGTAAAAATTTATATACAGATAATACTTTAGATGTTTGCAAACATCTGAAAAATGTAATAAATGGAATAAGCAAGCTAAATGTGCCAACCAGTCACAGATTCATAAATTCTCATTTTAAGGCCATTCACAGACTACTTAACCTCTCTTTTTTTTTTTACCATATAGTTAATCTTCTCCATGAAATTTTTCACATTATTGTTAAGCCTTTAAAACATATTCCAGGTTCTAAGGAGAAAATATGTATTTTAGAAATACATTGTAACAGTATGCTATACTGTTGACTCTACAACTAGCTAGAGGTTTTAATAGCTTAACTGTAGACTCTTTGTTACACTAAATAAGACAAAAAGATTTATCTGAAGTCTGATTCACCCATTATAAAAACAGTGACTGTACAGTGGAATGTACATTACTGGTGCTTGTAGAGCAGCTTCTTTAATATTAATGTTATAGTATATATTTTTGTTATATGGTTGATCAATAAGAAAGAAGGGCCTTAAAATTTAAAGGAATCTAATTGGCATTTCCCTGTTTCAGTTTTTCTTACCTATGTATTATTAGTTTTTAAGGATAAAGTGGAACTAATTCTGCAAGCCTGAATTTTATCCCAAATTAGTGTATTTTGGCACAGAGCCATTCAAGAAGGGTTCAAAAAGGCCAATATGGCCATGTAACTGAAGCCCTGACCCTTTTTAATGCATATTGTCACATATTTCAAAATAAGCAGATCTTTGATTGTTCAGTCACACCCACCATCTTGATTCTTTTTTGTTGCTCCTTGGGTACAAAAAGCTAAGAGAATCCACAGAGAAAAGTGTGAAGAGAAAGAAGAGAGATGATTGACAGGAAACAGGATATGCATCCAGGAAAAAAGGGGATTTGAGATAAGAAATTCTGTAGATAAGCAGAGTTTTGCACCTTTAAACAGAAAACTCATATTCCATATTGTTTATTCATGTAGTATAGTATTCATATAGTTTATTCATACAGTATTGTTAATAGCAATAGCACTTAGAGCCACCAGTAGCCTCTCACCGACCAGTATGCTCCCATAGAGAGGGTCTTCTCAGGGTGCCGTCGGCCAAACAATGTCAACTGGCGGCCCCCAGGGGGAGAGCCTTCTCTGTGGGGGCACCTGCCATCTGGAACGAGCTCCCCCCGGAGATACGGAGGATCCTGGATTTGCGCACTTTCCGCCGTGCCCTCAAAACATTCTTATTCCAGCAGGCTGGTCCGGCCTAACCTCCCTTTTAAATTGTTTTAAATTTGTTTTATAAATTGGGGTGTTTTAAATTTGTTCATGGGCCAAAGTATTTAATGTATTTTTAAATGGTTTTTTAACGTTTGTATTATGTGTATTTTATCTCTTGGCTGTTCACCGCCTGAGTCCTTCAGGAGTAGGGCGGTATATAAATTTAATAATAATAATAATAATAATAATAATAATAATAATAATAATATACCTCTTCACAGTGCTTTTACATCCGTCTCTAAGTGGTTTACAGAGTCAGCATATTGCCTCCAACAATCTGGGTCCTCATTTTACCCACCTCAGAAGGATGGAAAGCTGAGTCAATCCTGAGCCGGTGAGACCCGAACTGCCAAACTGCTGGCAGCCGGTGATCAACAGAAGTAGCCTGGAGAACTGCACTCTAACCACTGCACCACCGGCTCATAGTTTAATGGTTGATAACAAACTGGTCTACCCAGTCAGCGTACTATACATCACTAAGCAATGCCAAGAAAAGAGCTAATATGAGACAAAATAAAATCAGATTAAGAAATCTATATTTCTCATTTTAAATGGGGGCAGGAAGATTTAAATCTATTTAGCCCCACCCCAGCTCTGCTGACTGGGGAATTCTGGGAGTTGAAGTCCACACATTGTCCAGCGGCCAAGGTTGAGAAACACTGCTCTATGGCATGGGTTCAGAATATCTATGGAACCATCTTTTTGCAATGGGGACTGACCCCCCACTCCCCCCCTCGTGCTGGCAGAAGGCCTAGTCTGGACCCCATCAGCCAAGGAATTTCAGATGGTGGGATCCAAGGGAAAAGCCATTTCTGCCATGGCCCCCATCCTTTGAGACATCTTGCCACAGGGGGTGAGATCTGCCCCCACCTTTTTTAAGGCTTCAGGAAAAGTCTTAAAACTTGGCTATGCTGACTGGCATGGGGTCCTGAAGGACCTGTTGGCAGGAGGTGGTTGGCACAGTAACAGAGAAGGCATCACCACTTCTCTAGTCCAAACCTGTAATTTTTTTACTTTGTTTTAATTTGTAGTTTAAATATGTTTTATATTCATAATTATTTTGATATCTGCATGTTTTATCGCATTGTAAGCTGCTCAGTCATCTCAAACCACAAGATGGGAGACAAGTGCAGTTTAAGAAGAGGAAGCAAAACAACTTGTTACTCAAGGTGACATAGAAATTACTATTGTGGCAGGTATTTTTTAGTACATTATTAATGCCAAAGTTTATAGTACTGTTTGTTAATTTTATGACCAATTAATTATACAGAATTTGCACCAGAGGCATAATCCTATGCATGTAAATTTAATTTCTCTGTGCCCACCTCAATTGACTGTCTTTAATTGTTGCTATAAATCAATAAGATGCTGGGTTAAAATGAAACCAACTGGTATTGAGGTAATGATTTAACATTAAGAGAATAAATTCTAAGGCTACGTAAGGTGAAACCACTCTTACCTCCATGGGAAATGCTTTAAAATTAACTGTGTGTTCTGAGCCACGCTGATTTTGTCTGCCCCAGTGAAATCGAACATTGTGAAGTTCAAATTCATGGCCCCGAGGTAATGGGCCTCCCACTAACACTGGAAAAGAGCACAATACAAATTATAGCAAGTGATATTCATGGCTAGTAATGTTCTAAAACCCCTCTCAACAAACAGTTGGAAAATTATTTCTCTTTGGGCAAAGGTCAAATGTGAAAACTGCAGTGGAGTTAACACTTAACACAGTTGGTAGAGCAATATACTTCATGATTATACTATGCAAATAGTATCCGGTTGCATTCTTTTATTTATGCAGTGTCACAATTTTTCTTAGTGAAAAATATATGTTTATGTTTATGAAAACAAACTATACTGTACTATGTGATGGTTGCCTTGAGACTATATTTGGCCATTTGAATACAAGAATGAAATAAGTAGGAACAAGCAGTGGCTGGACACACACATTACTGTAACCCACAATGTGATTTGTTTGGCTGTAGCATCACATATTGTCTGATTTCAGCAACTGAGGCTCATTCAACCAATTGTAGATATTATCACACTTGAGCTCCATGTGTCAGTCCTGCTAATATGTAACAATGAAGACTGATCAGCTATTCAAAACTATTCGATAGAGAGAAGCAACAGGAGGCAAGTAAATCTCAGATGCATACATTCTATAAAGTTGTATTGAGTAACCACAATTTGTTAAATTTTAGAAGACACCAGCAAATGAGAAACTATTTTGAATGGTGTCTTTCTCCCTAGATAGTTCATATACTTGGGGGATATTTTGAAGTATTTTAAGCTGTGTGTTTCTCCTTTGTGTTAAAACTATATAATTGTAAATGCATGCAAATGTTACAAAACATACATTAGTCTTCAATTACTTCTTTCCAGCCAGACTCAGAAATAGCAATAGCACTTAGATTTATATACTACTTCACAGTGCTTTACAACCCTGTAAATGGTTTACAAAGTCAGCATATTTTCCCCAACAATCTGGGTTCTCATTTTACTGACCTCGGAAGCATGGAAGGCTAAATCAGCCTTGAGCCTGATGAGATTTGATCTGCCAAATTGTAGGTTGCCGGAAATCAACAGAAGTAGCCTGCAGTACTGCATTCTAACCACTGCGCCACCACGGCTCTTATGTTGCTCAAACTTCTCACTGGAAGTTTGGAAAGTGATTTTTTTAAAACCAATTTTTCATAAATATTGTGGATGGAAAATGAGACTGACATTATAAAACAGTATATTTTGAGGTTTTCGGGGGAGATTACACACACACATGCTCACAGTTTGTAAGTATTTCTTTTATTTTAAGCTTGTGGAGTTTTGCTTATTACATTTTGCATAACTAAAAACAAAATAACTGTCTCAGAAGGAAAACACGTTTGATAGATTTATATAATGTTGAACTTTGTAATCTTACTTCAACCTGCAAAAGACAAGTGTCATGGACAAAGCAAAACATCAGTCAGCCTTGGATCTGGTACATAAAAACATTGCCTTTAGGAATTACAGTTTTGACTCTTTTTCCCTTGATATCAAAACAAAACAAAACAAAAAAACCCAGACTGGTAAATTAAAAGGGAATCTGTGAATTTTGTGATCAACAAATTTACTGCATATTTACTTCATATATCATATTGTACTAAGGCCACTCTTTAAAAAATTGGGGGGGTGAAATTCTAAATTTCAAATGTTCTTTTCCTGCCAAACAAGCCACCCAAAGTATGTGTCTATTCTGGAAGAAACTTTAAAGGATTTGCCTTCATCTCTATGCTTCAGTAGATTTGACATTCCCCCCACTTTGACACAAATCTAGTATCCGTACATATGCAACATATGCCTCTCTCCAATTTGTAATTGGATGAGGTCTGGTGGGTATAACTTTTCCCTCATTTCTGTTTGTAAATTTGGAGAATATCTAAAGTGGACTTAAAAACTTTCCTGACTCAAAGCTACAAGTTACCAGGGCAGTATTTCTTCGAATCATAATGAGATTTCTTTTTGTCTAACCCCAGCTGCCTCATACCATTCAGAACATTGCCAAGAATATTATAAACACTAATTTTTTTTTTGTATATAATCAACTCTGAATGCTGGCAAAGGAATGTTTGTTTAAAATGTATACCAGAGAGGATAATTTTCCGAGCTCTTTTCTGTTTGAAAGAGATATAAGAGTTGCATATTCATATCTCCTGTTTGTACACAAATTACACATATGTTTCCTGGTGGAGTGTGGCCTCTCATTCCTTTCACTCCCAGCAATCAGCCATCATCTGCTTTTCCAAGCAACCTTTGAGTTACAACAATATGTAGCTAGTATCTCCACGAGGCTCACAGGATGCCTTCTCCATACTGATCACACTTGGGTTATGTACATGAAAGCAGAGAAGTAGGAATTCAATATTCTCTAAACAGGCATTCTATAAATATATTGAACTATTTGTCATGGTGCTGAAAAGTATGTACAAATGCTGAACTGATTAAAAAAAATCAAAGGACTTATGTTCAATATATTTAGAGGCCATCAATTTGGTGAAATACTGCCTTTCCTTTGCCCCAGTTTGACAGTGAAAATTAAAATGAAATAAAATGAAATAAATTAAGACCCCTGATAATCAAGAATGAAAGCCGTGACCCAATCAGTTATTTAATACATGGAACATCATTTTCCTTCACTCTTATACTTTGTACTGCACAATCATAAAATTTCAGTTCCGATTCAGTTCAGTTCAGAGTTCAAATCACAGACCTTAGTTCAGTCTCCTCATAAATATACTATTAATGACAGAATTAATGTATATGAAAAGAGGATTCTGATAAACTGGAGCAAGTTCAGAGGACAATAAAGCTAAAGAGCATAAAGAAAAATTGAGGAAAAAATGCATACCTACAGCAATATGAAAACAGAGGGAGAATTTTATGGCGCTGTTCATGTACATAAAGGGATTTTGTATAGACAAAGGTTCCAATCTCTCAGAATGAAGATCATGAAATTCATTTGAGTTAGAGAAAACAGATAGTGAGTGAATGTTAGGGAAAAAAATCCTAAGAACAATTTGACACTGGAACCAATTACCAGGAGTGTCCTCTACTTCCTAGGATGGATTCAAGGAAAGCACAGATAACTCTCTGACAGATTATTTTAAATTATTACCATGAGCAGCAGATTGGACTTAATGTCTAAATTCAGTTCTCTGATTCAAATAGAATATTTCTCAATATGTTGATAGTAGTGATAAGTAACATAATTTTAAAATGAAACAATGGGTGCTGGTATTAGCTTATCCTAAAGTAAACAAAAGTAGTAAATAATGAAGAAAGCATACTTGATTTGGTCTTTAAGAGGATCTGAATTGAGTGTCCATCATTGAGAATCTCACAATCACGGCATACAAAATAATTTGGTGATAAGTGTATTTTCAGTAACAATGGGTCATATTTGGCCTCTCTTGAATTCAAATTAATAGGAGATTGATATTCCCCATTTGCATCAGGAAAGATTAGCCCCCACTCAACACCTGAAAAAGAGAATAACACATTTCATTGAAATGAAAGTTAATTGTTTTTCTATACGCTCTTAGAAAAATGGACTGTGACTAGATTTATCCTGTTCTGCTATACATTTTTAAAAGTCTGTTGAAGGTAGTTGTCATAAGATTAGAAGTAAACAGTCTGACATCAGGCTAATCCAAACAAGAGCAGGTGGAAACTGTCCCTCCCATCCAAATAAAGAGTAGTTATATTAGTTAGACCACAAAGGCAAAAGGGAGCAACACAAGAATTTAACCTTGATTTCATTATCAACAGGGCTTGCATTTGAAGCATAGCAGTCACTGGATTTATATAGCTTCACTAGCTTCTCTCTTTTCTAGATCACATTATTAAGAGAAGTGGGACACAATCCCTAGGAAAATGAACAAAAATTATTTATACATATCACATTTCAAGACCAAAACAAGGTCAGAGTATTAACTATTCAATGAACGTTTATCCAGAGGACTGCTTCTTTATATGCAAATAGCAGCTTCAAAGTTATGGCTTGCATAAGAACTACAACATTTAGAAAGATTGCATTTTCCACCTGCTCAATGCCAGGAATAAACAATATATACCCACATATTCGCAAAGATGCTTTTTCAAAAACGCTTATCTAGTACAAAAATGCATTTAATCTCTCATCCACGTTGGGTCAGCAGGTCAAGCCAAAGATTTCTTCTTAAGAATATTAAATATACCATAATATAAAAATGCCAAATATTTCTTTAGAGAAAATAAAACCATATAACAAAACAGCTCCTGTTCTCATTTTCAATTCCTATTATCACAATCATTGATCAGAAATTTAAAAAATGTATATTCAACTTGATTTAAGGACAAGTCAAACACTACTTTAGATTGACATGACCATCATTTAATGAACATAGAATAAACTAACTACAGAAGAATGTCATTTCTGACATGCAATAATCTGACAAGGATCTACAAGTAAAATTCCAGCAGGTATGTTAAACAGGAGCCAGCCAAAGAATCCTAAAATAACATCGTAATAACACATGAGCTACTAATTCCTTCTATCTTTAAACCATAAAAATGTTGTGCAGGTATAAAAACTGGAAATCAAGATTTTAAGATAAGATTTTCTTAGCCTGAATAAAAGGCATGAAATATCACAAAGCAGGGAATACATTTAAGTTAAAACATGGCTGTTTCGCCAAGCTGGCCTGGACTGAATGGGGTTTTAATGGGAATTTTGGTTTTTATTGTTGAATTTTAATTGGACTTGTTGTTGTTTATTGCTGTGAGCCGCCCTGAGTCCTTGTGGAGAAAGTGCAGCATATAAGTCCGATAATAAATAAATAAATAAATAAATAAATAAATAAATAGATTAAAACTCTTTTTAGAATAAAGGAATTAAATTCCTGTTTAACATCTTCTCAAAGGTGTTTTTCAAAAGGCAACTTTTGAAACAAGAAAACCTTCTTATTTTTTTCCCCCCATGAAAACATTTCGCTTCTCATTCAAGAAGCTTCTTCAGTTTTTCAAGGAAAAAACCAAGAGAGTCCAGTTGCCTTTTGAAAAGAACCTTTGGGAAATCCATGACCTGGATGTTGAGGATTTCCATAGATGTTTAATGTCTTGATTTCACCAAATAAAATCTAACTTTTCTCGTTTTGTATAATGCTTCCTTCCCATCATCTCAGAAAATGTACATTTTTAATTTTTCACCACAACCACAAGAACAGCATCCATTCAGAGAGAGAAGCAACCTGGAATTAAGGAGAAACTTCCTAACAGTAAGGACAATCAACCAGTGGAACTGCTTGCCTTCAGAAATCATGGGCACTTCATCACTGGAGGTTTTAAAGAAAAGACTGGATAGTCACTTATCTGAAATTGATCTCGCTGTTGCGATCTTGTGAGATCTGGCCATGAATGGCGTGAATGGGTTTTAATGTTTTAATTTTGAAATGTTTTTATAATGGTTTTTAAATGGCTGTTCAAGCAAATAGGCTGACTCTGATTCTGGGTTTTATTATTTATTATTTATTAGTTAATTTGGATTAAAATGGGATTTTGTTGTACATGTTTTTAACTCGCCGCCCTGAGTCCTTCTGGAGAAGGGCGGCATATAAATACATTAAATAAATAAATAAATAAATAAATAAATAAATAAATAAATAAATAAATAAATAAATAATACATTGTAAGCCGTCCTGAGTCTTCGGAGAAAGGCGGCATATAAATTGAACTAAATAAATGGTGTAGGTTCTCCTGATTTGAGTATGGGGCTGGACTAGAAGACCTCCAAGGTCCCTTCCAGCTCTATCCTATCCTATCCTATCCTATCCTATCCTATCCTATCCTATCCCTGCATGCACACACAATTTTTCACTTAATATCCAGCCTGAAAAAGAATCCGAGTCGCTAACAAATCCACATTGCCTGCAATTTTGTTTTCTTAATCCTGTGTCACCAGATCACTGTGTACACAATATCCCATCTGCAACGCTGGCTCCATGCTGCCTTGAAAAGGAATGCTGTCACCTTTCAAAACGCACAGACGATTAAAAAAAACAACAACCCGAGAGATTAAAAATCCCTTCCCGGGGCCACAGCAGTTGAAAGTAGAGACTCGGTCATGCGAACACCTCAGTATTTTGAGTTTTGAAGGCCACACGGCAACGTGTTGTTAAAGCGATTCTGAAGCTTTTTGTTTTACCTCCAAACAAATCCCTCACTTTTGGATGCAGCTGGCTTCACCTGCCAACCTTTCGTTTTCGTCGGAAGAAAATTGCTTTATGAACACCCCAGACACCATCTGATAATGAAGGCAAGTATTACCTGCACATATTGATGGGGGGCAAGAGCCAGCGTGGGTTTTACTTGACTTTCAGTCTTCTCCCATTCCCTCCCATTCCTCCGACTGGTCGCAGATCACAAACTCAACCCAGCCCTCTTCCCCCGGCCGCCGCCTGCTTACCTTCTTCGTAGCCCCAATCCACACTTTCCTCTCTCTCGGCGACTTGCCCCGATTCCTCCATGAAGCTGCCAGCTTTTTCCGCGCTTCGCGGCCGCCCCCAGCAACCCCCCCCCCCCCCCCCGCGCGGAAGCCGGCTCTCCGCCTGGTTGTGTGCCTGGGCTGAAAGCAGGAGCCGGCGCTTTCTTTGCGAACTGCTAAGTTGGGACTGTGTGAAGACAGGCAACTTGGCTGCAAAGAGACACGTGTTCAGAAGGCGGTGCCTCTCTTGAGACGGCACGGTTTGTGCTTGTGCGCAACTAGTTGTGTCCGCACCGTTGCTTAGGTTAACGGCGTTAAGGAAAGAAATGTCCATGTCAGAAGGTCGAAAGGGTAAAGGGAAGCAGCCTAAAAAATGTGGTGGAAAGAAGTTGGAAAGTGTGGCCTGGATCAGTGGTGAATTAACTAGATTTTTTTTTTTAAAAAACCCTTGTTTTCCCCTTGGTCTTCCCTATTCCAGGAATGTTTTATAGCTGACTCTTAAATTGTAATAGAGCAAAGTTGTTTTTTCAAGCCCAGAAATATTACTAGTCTTTTAAACTACAGATTATCTTCAATCCTAATTTCATGGTCAGGAATACTCATGCCAAGGGCCTGTAATTATCTAATATTGCACTGTATTGTTTCAGACAACCAGCTTCTTTGTTTTGGGGCTTAGAATTGTCCTTTTACCTGGCTTCCTCGTGAGTCAAATCCCAGAGATCTTTCCCACTATCTGGGCTCACCAGTCTATTTGGGGGTCATAGCCTTCTGAAGCTATAAAGCAAAGGAAAGCTGGAATAAAATTTTAAGCACAGTCACAGTCATGTGATTTTTCACTTAGTGGATGCTTTGCTAATGACCAGGTGCCTGTTCTACTTGTGGTCACTGAACAAAAACTACCTATCTGTCAGAGAAATGCTATCTGTTCATCACTGAGTTATCATAAAACAATATCAGCATGAAATAGCCTGCCTCCATTCCCTATCCTTTTACTATTGCATCTATTCTCAGTCACTGCTCTCTGGAATTTTCAGATGCTACCCATAAAGAGACAAAACAATTGGTTTAATCCTCTGGCTTTGGAACACTCTCTCTTTCTCTTTCTCTCTAACATGACTCTATCCAGTTAATGATGGTCCTATCCATTCTGTCAAGACACAAATTTGGTAAAAGGTTTTATTTTATTTTTAAAAAAAAAAAGAATTCACACAGGGATCTGAATCAGAGTCAGTAACTTTTGGGAAAAATATTTTATATTTAAATAAAAAATATTTTTATTTAGGACTTTTTTTCCCAGTTATTTCACTATAGGCATGTTTTCAAACTTGCATAAAACCAAGAAAGTCATAAACTTAAACTGAACTAACACACTCTAGTGCAATTATGCTAATCTGGTTGACACAATAACAACCATAACTCCTATTGTAAGCAGGAACAGTACTTTCATGTAATATTGGAACCTGATCAGTCTCTTCCTGCCAAAGCTGATTTTTAAAGGAAGAAAGTATAGTACTTGTTTATTTAGTCATCACATTTCTACATCACCTTCTCATCTAAGTGACTCTGGGCAGTTTACAATTAAAAATATAATGTAAAAACATAAATAAGAACAAAGTTAAAAACTGAATTTAAAAGGTTAGGTTAAAAGATTAAAAGTTGAAGACTTTTAAAAGGTAGATATATATAGAGGGATGCTAATTCCGAAGGCATCACTATGGCAAATTTATTTTGGCAAGAGATGTATAGTGAGATAGAACTGTTTTTTAAAAAAAAGAAAAGAAAGGAAAAGACCAAAAGTGATGAGATCCTCATAATATTGAATCAATGAAGGACAATAATGAAAGATATGAAGTGACAGAATGTCTACAAAACAATATCTTTATAGGATAGAAAGACAACAAATTATAGAGCAAGATAAAATGGAAAAACATAAATAAATCAAGATTTATTGCAATGAAACCGTCATCATAAGACATTGGAAGATCATCAACCTAATTGAATTAATTCAAAGACCAGATGGGATTCCTGAAAGAATTAGGGAAACTCATTCACTCATTTGACTTTAATTGTTGTTACCTTTGAAAAATTGTACATACATGAGAGAAACTGCAAAATCAAGAAAGACATGCAAATGCTAGAATAAGATTTATTACAGCTCAGTATATTTAGAAAGGAATAAAACGGAAAGTATAGGATTAAGTCTCATACTTAAGATGTGTGATTGGTGTTGTGTACATGGATATGATTGTGTGTGTGCATGCATGCATACATATCTTTGTGCATTTACATTTGAGATATATAGATATAGATTGGCACATTTAAGATCTGTCTATCTGTCAGTCTTTCCATCTATTTCCACATGTAAACTGTCAGGTACAATTCCTATTCAGGAATATTGTTCAATAAATGTCATGCAAACTCACTTTATGTTTATTTAAATATTTGTGCTTAGAATTGTTTGAGTAGGAACATCTTGCACACAGTTGACATTGAGACTTTTTTTTTGTAGCAACATTACAAAAGAATCACTCATCCTTCACCTCACAAGACTGTAATGGGGCAGCGAAGGGAACTTGGCTGGAGCATAGCAAGTGCTATAGGCAAACAAATACAGGTCATGAATAGAAGGCATAAAGTCTTCTTATAAATGATGTCACTATAACCTGTAACATGTTGAGGAATGGGCAGAGGACCAATTAAAGGAGGTGTGATTGCATAGGGCTACAATGGTCTCTAGTCTAAAGGATAATGAACAAATAAAAATAACTGACCCTTCAGGAGAAAGATGAAAGGCCAATATCCAAGGATTGTGATTTCCTAACTCCATTTGACAGGAATGACTATTCCACAATAACCCCAAAGCTGTATTACAGTTAGATCCTTATTTGAGGCATATCTTTAGCATATTTACTTTTAGATTATCTTTGAAAGAGTTTTTGTAAGACTATTCTTTGCACAGTCAAGAGAACACTTGGAGGAATAGTTTACATGCAATGCCATTCTCCATCCCATAAAGATAGTTCATATATGAATATAAAGAGGATTTCCTTGGATAGATATACAAAATACAAAATGTAAAGTAATTCTCATATTGTACACCTTATCAACCGTCTTGTTTTTGAATACATACACACACACAAACAGAATTGCAGTAGAAGAGCATTTTTGTACAAAATGTATGTCCAATTATTTTCATCTGAACAAGTGAGTTAAAAGAAACACAAAGCTTTGCAAAGCTTAGTTGAAAGAGAAGGAAGAAATAATGAAAAATATCCAAAATTCCACATGATTATTAGGTAGTGATTATAATGGTTATCTTTGTCATGCTTTTATTTTCAAGTCTACCAGATTGGAACAGGACAATAACAATAAATGAATAAATGAATGAATAAATGAATAAATAAATAATAAGAAACAAGTGCTAATTGCTGTCCTGCTCAAAAGCATTTAGCTCACTATAGGATGGAAGAGTGCACAGTCTGTGTACTGATTCCGCGATAAATATGGCTTGCATTTTACAGTAATTACTGGATTTCTTATTTGCAGCTTTCCTTGTTTTGCAGTAAACTTAGCTTACCTAGAATTGTGCCTTTGAATCACTGCCTGCAGGGCTTCTAATCCTAGTACCAGCTGAGAGAAGAATGAAAATTTAATTATGAAGAAAAGGAATGAAAGGTGTTGCAGCAATGGAACTAGTTTCAGTTCAGAGCTATTATATTTCTATATACATTACAGCAGAATTTTTCTGGTTCTTTTTTAACAATTTTTTTCATGAACTTCTGAGGGGTTTATCTCTTCATTGTAGATAGTGAAGTTTGCAAGTGGTTGTTTATGTAACAGTTCTTTGAATCTTATAAAGCTGGAAATGAATCCTTCAGTTATGCCTCAGTGCACAGGGATAATGGAATAACCATAAATTAGTTGTGGGGGAAATTGTGCATGAATTCCAAATGAATATGTTTTAGGGGGAAATTATCATATTAAGTAACATGAATGGATTGGCAGGACTGAGACAAGATAGTACAGAAAAAATGATTAGGCCATTTGGAGATGCAAAAATGAATAAGAATGTGATTGGTGAGTATCTCCTTATAAAAAGGAATATGAGGTTTAAGTATAAGTGTATTTGTATGAACATCATGTGACCTTGTAGAGGAGATGAGCAGCATAAAAATTGAATCAATAAAATAAAGAATGAACGAATACGAGTCTAAAATATTTATGATAAAAAAACAAAAGAAAATGGTTGAGGGTAATGAGGAGTTTTGAATGTGAGCATGTTGTCTTTAAACTGTGCATTGATGGTTAATTTAGAATTTGCAGGACAAATAACAAGAACATTAAGCGATATGCCAGTATGGAACTAAATTTTGAAAAAGGTTTATTAAGAAATTTCCCCTGAACATACAATACTTGGAAGAATACCACTCCAAAACAGCCAGGTAAGCCCAAATGGTGGGGAAGATTTCCAGAACACAACTCATGAGAAGCTGGGAAAAAGGAATAAATTTTATAACCCTTTTTTGCTACTTCACCACCCTTTGGAATTCTGCCTCAATTCTGGGATTATTGATAAAGGGAAATTAGTGTTTGTATTTACATTCACTGGAGGGAAAGATTACAAGAGAGTAAGCAAGCACACAATTGGGAATCCACATTGAGAGAGATGCCTTAGAGCTGCTTAGGAGGTTGTGGGACCACTGCAGCTGTTATAACTTTGAAACAGGGTCGTATGTAGTTTTGAGGTATCAGTTGTAACTTTGAACCATTGTTAAGTGTCCTGGTGTTTCTCGAGGACTACCCATAATTTAAAACAACTCACTTCCTGGCCTTGTGTAAAAATAGACATATGCATCCAAGACTGCTGCATCCACTCCCCATAGTGACTTTGGAAAACAAATTCCTTGGACTTTATTGGTAGTGTAGCACAAATCATAGGCATAGATGCATTGTGATAAAATTGACCTTTCTTTAAAATGGCTGATTGTCCTTCCCTCCACTGCTAAGATAGCCCATCTGTTTATTTGCCTGTGCCTATGTGACAGAAGAAAATCATCTGGGTGTATACAAGATGAAATGGCGCAATGCAATGTGAAGTTTTTTTTTTTATTTGATTTATATGCCACCCTTCTCCGGAGACTCAGGGCGGCTTACAATGCATTAAGCAATAGCCTTCATACTTTTGTATATCTATACAAAGTCAGCTTATTGCCCCCACAAACTGGGTCCTCAATTTACCTACGTTGAGTGCAAGCACTGTTTGACGT